AGAAGACAGCAACATAAAAAGACAGCTCCCTCAGTCTTCAGCTGAATCCTGCTGGAATTATGAAACGAACTTGGATCAGATAAGTCAGTCCAGACTTCTCGACATGAAATATTCCAGTTTTCTTTCAAATATGCCCTTCTGTTTTAAGCATGTTTCTGGCAGTATATTAAAAATATCATTTTAAAAAATCATATGACTCTTTTAGTGGCACCGTGGCCATCCTCAGTCAGATCAGGAAGGAAAATTAGAATATGATGAATGAACATTAGAAATCTTAACATAAAGTAGACATTGGTCCAATATTCACAAAATGTTTTCTATTATAGTTTTGACCTATTTTCCCTTGCAAATGTTATATGACTCTTTTCTTCCCAAATTTATAAAAGAAGATGAAAATGTGGGATCTTACCAACAAGAACTTGTTGTGAATTCCCCCCATGTCCAAATATATTCATACAGTGTTTACTTTCAATTTTGAAATGTTGTAGTAATTTTGGAGACCAGCTTGCTCACTCATTTCTAACATGGTAACTAACTATTGTTGTTATACTAGAACACCCGAGATAACTGAGTGTTTACAGAGATTTAGTTCTAAACAACAAAGACTTCTATGGAGTCATATATCTACTGTATAGCACAGTAATTAAATTACAGGTAGTCCTCATTTAATGACCACAATTGGGACCAGGAACTTGATTGGTAAGGAAAGTGGATGCTAAGTGAAACCACAACTCTGCTTACGATCTTACTTCAGCTTTCCTTTGCTTTACAGACCTGTGAAAATCATAAATGCAAGGATCAGTCAAAACTTAACTTTTTCATCACTGTCATAACTGTGAACGGTTGCTAAACAAGGCAGTCATTAAATGAGGACTACCTCTATATGTAGCTGTAAGGATGATTTAGGAAAGAATAAATTATCTCACCCCTGTGCATAACAAAGACACTGAACCAACTTTTTTTCCACCTGCCATGCTGAAGAAATATAGACTCACTGCAGTCTGTGCTAGATTGTATGTGCGAAAGCTCCCCAAAGATATACACACAAACATAAATTTTGAAAGAAAATATAATAAAATTAATATTCTTCTTATACCATCATTTTGTTCCACAGTAAGGTACTTTTTATTCCTCCAAGTTTTCTTCTATGTGCATATGTCCAATGGCATCTCTTGCTTTATGCAGGCCTTTAATAAACCACCCGCATATGTGTCAGCAGAGTGCCAACTGTAGGAATTTATAAAATTAAAAATTGATGCAGAAACATGTTCTCCCTATCTCAGCTAAATGAAAACCAATATTCTAGCTGGAATTCTACCTCATCACAAAAATTCACATTGCTTTCCTGATGAGATGAAGTCCAAATAATCACTACAGACTAGTTTGCAGATTCCCCAATCCTGAATACTGAGAATTCTTTGAAACAGTATTATAAGAATTTAAAAAATAATTTTGTTGGACCAGGCCAATGCCTCATCCAGTCCAGCAATCTGCATCACACAGTGGTCAACAGATATATTTATAAAACTCGCAAAAATGTATAGGATAGTAATAGCTCTCTTCTACTTTCACATCCAGTAGTTGAGATTTAAGCTACTAAATAGCCATCAATACTATGAGAGGCTGATAGTTCAGTTCTCCATGTCTAGTCCAATCCCCCTTTTAAAAACATCAACATCTAATTGTAGTAATTTCCCCAGTTTAACTCTGCTATCTGGCATGATTATCTTTGTATGACATAGCATTAAAGATGTCAAGATATTTGCTTTACCTACAGGTGAGTAGGTACTTCTACGAAAGAGTAAATCTATTGCTATATGTCAAATTCCGAGACTGAGAGATGCATCTTAAGGAGCCATTAGCAAATTTGTGTCTCTAACATAAGCTCTCTTCAATTGTTTGCCTGAACAATTGAACAAAAGAGATGCCATGGGGTGCATGTGTGTGTGACAGAGAGGAGCCATGAATGCATGTATGCCTATCATCTCAGACCTTACTGCATTGAGCTTTTTAAGGGCACATAATTTTTGAGAGAGTTTTGTTCATGTTCAGATGATGATGACTAGGGCTCCTGCTCAGAGCATTCTGCCCCTGGACTTTCATTTCACATCCAACAGTAAGGCAGAATAACTAGCTGCGTTGTTGGATTTGTATTACTATTTATGCATTGACTGATCTCTGCAAATGATCATTTAAAATTACTTGGATAAGATGTATATTTTTCTGTGAAATATCATATGTCTATCCCACAAATATCATTCATGGTGATATGGTTCATGGGGTCACGAAGAGTCGGACACGACTTAATGACTGAACAACAACATCCCACAAATTAGCAAGCCTACCCTATCTCCCTCACCATCCTATCAAGTCTCCACTATGATATATGGAGTCTTGCCATTTTACGTCCAATGCAGGGGTGAGGAAGGTTAAGTGAATATGCTGCTTATGGAGAAACAATTTCTCCCCTTCTACACGCCATAAAATTAACAAAGCAAATC